GTTCTACAGAATTATTAAATGAAGGAATCTGCTTCAGAATTACTGACTGCATGTCGCTGCAACATCTGTGTTACAAAGTTTGATTGCTTGAAATATTGTAATTCTAAACTAAATTTTGAAAAATAACTGATTATATGGAGTAGATTAACCGCAAATCTAAAAAAGAGTCACCATGTTGCAGGAAATGCTAGTAACTATATTAATGTCAATATTGATATATAGATGTGTAACCTATACATTATTTATATTATAATTTAGTGTTTTATATTAGTTTGATGTTAATATTATGACAATTTTTAGAAATATGTATTTGACTTTAATATAAAATATACACTAACATAATAAGATTTTCTCGAAATTGGGAAATGCAGTGTATAGAAAATAAAAATATACTAAAATACAGGAAATTAAGTATCAAGTACAAAAGATAAAAAAAAAACACCATTTAGTGAAAAATATGAAAAAAAATTAATTTATTAAATTTGGATACTTAACTTATATATAAGTTGTGATATTTGTAAAATCCAAATTTAATAAATTAATTTTTTTCATATTTTTCACTAAATATATATTATATCTTATATATATATATATTAATATATATATTATATCTTAAACTTTTTTTGAACTAAGTAATAAAAAATAAACAGAGATTGTATACAATTTTCTTACAAGTAATTTAAATTTCAACACAGGTACTTTTCCCCAAAATGATGCCTCCTAAGCTCATTATTTTTCTTCGTTAAGGAATCTATAGGTTACACATCTATGGAGAATAGTAATAACAAAAGAGTTAAAATGTGGAATCCTTAGGTTCATGATAATTTTATGAATTTATTTGAGAAGTAAAACTTAATATTGTATTCTATTTTTACAGTACATAATATTTAACATGACTTGTACATTTGCAATGTTTTGATAGGAAAAGTTTGGATTAGGGGACTATTTGGAGCGTCGGCAGTGCAGTTGGCGCTTGACCGGATCATATTTTACATATCCAGGTACAATCTCCGCTATATAGTAATGAGTTCTTCGAATTTCATGATAACATTCATCCGACATTCTTACTGTAATTACAAATTGCATACAACTGCATAGAAATTCAAAGATATGTGTGAAGTCATGAAGTCATGTGTGACTCTGCGTTGTTGAATAAGACCTAGTCGCATTCTTGAGGGTAGGCTCCGAGCTCCTCTGTGGAGTATAGTGTGTCCGTATAGTGAGCTTGATGATGACGATTTGTTTTGCTTCAATGCATATTGTCTTGTTAGCAATTTTCTAAATATTTTACCAACAGATAGGAGCTAATCTCTTTCCAGTGTTATTCTATTTCTCCCGACGAGAGTGGCACTACTACTCCAGTTCTATCAGAAAATATGATCTATCAAATAAACAAAGTGGAACAAATAAGCATTTATCAAAGTTGGGGTATTTTGTTGGTGTACTAAACAATAATGGTATTATTACGAAAGCAATGAGCATTATGTTGCGTTCTTAAAATATGTTCTCTTTAGTCAGAAGTTTAAATTAAAGTTGCAATTAACGAAATTGTTTTATTTTTCCAAATTGTTTTCCCTCAAATAATACTTTCAAACGTCAAAAATGATACTGACAGATAGTTTTTTTAGGTTGGTAGCAACGTAAACTTGTTCATAATATTGCTAGCATTGAAAATGTCAATTCTTATTCTCCGTTTGTGTATCTAATTAGTCAAGAGTCCCGTCTCTTATTTTATATACTCTTTGTGCTTGTCATTTGACAAATGTCACAATTTGTCATTGGATTGTATTTCCTCTGATTTCAATATAAGTTTCCAATACTCACAGAAAACATTATTTTCGTTTTAATGAACAAACGCAACAAATTCTGACTATTTTGTGGTTGTTTAACAAATAATTTAATAAGAAGACTTTTCAAAGTAAATTTCATCATAACGCAACTATGAACTTCTTCAAAAAGGCACCGACTGTTAAAGGTTTATGATTTCACTTTTTAGCATCAAATTGTCGGATTAGTAGTATACAAACATGACTCACCCCTAATATGTGAACTTTAAATTTTAGAACAACAAAGACAAAATGATCGAGAACTCCGAAAAGCTGGAAGAGACTTGGAGAGAGACAAAGTGGCTTTGGAGAGAGAGGAAAAGAAATTAGTAAGGACTTTTGTACTTGTACGAAATTTTATACTGAAGACGATATTTTCTCATTAGATTTAGAACCTTACTACTTGTCAGTAAATATGATTTTTTCCAAGATTATATAAATTATTGTACCAATTATAAACCATAAAACATATAAACCAATTGGTTACAATTGGAAATCCACTAAAATATTATACAATAATTTCTTTACTCCCGCTTTTTATAAGTTTCATATATATTATCTGTTCTACATAATATATTGTACCAGGAAATGGAAATAAAGAAAATGGCAAAGGAGGGCAATAATGACGGATGCAAAATACTAGCAAAACAATTGGTTCAACTGAGGAAGCAAAAGACCAGAATCTATGCTGCTAATAGCAAGGTACTTTTTAAAATTGTTTAATTTGCAAGCAACTGCAGTTCATCTGGTAATGCAGATGATAATCACCGCTTTTTTTTATGAACAAAATAACATAGACTAGGGCTGTCAACTATAAACAAACATATACAAACTGAGGTGGTGAAAAAAATATGACTAACATTTGTCAACCCTGGATTTTTTCAGAGATAGTAAAATCTGATTGAAAACATTTATGGTTGTATCATAGAGTAACTCAAAATAGTAGTATTCAGAACTAAACACAAAAAGTTTGCAACCCTACAAAAGCTATTTGTTTTCCTTCTAATTGTGCTTTTGTTGACAGATATCAAGTGTACAGATACATAACAAAGCAATGGGTGCTAACATTGCAATAGCGGGAGCAATGGGCACCACAGCTAAGACAATGGGCAACATTAACAAAGTTCTGAACCCACACCAAATAGCCAAGGATATGGAAGCCTTTAAACAGGCCAATGCTAAGATGGACATGACAGATGAAATGAGTAAGTTTTGTTTATCCTTTGTATCAATATTATAAATGCAAATATTTAAATGGATGGTTGGATGTTTGTTTGAAGGTATTTCCATAACGGCTCAACAGACCTCGCTAAAATTTGGCATAGATGTAGGACATAGCCTGGAAGAAACAAGGGTTTTTTTTAAATTCTACTCATACAGAGTTGCGGGCGACAGCTAGTTATATGTTTATATAGCAGAAGACTTCTTAAATAATTCTTAACATGAAAAAAGTATTTATGAGAAACTTTTCTTATAGTTTCAGAAACTCTAGATGACATTATGGATGAATCAGGTGATGAACAGGAAACTGAAGGCATTGTTAACCAAGTACTGGATGAGATTGGCATTGAAATCAGTGGAAAGGTAATATTTTTAATATATGTGATATTTGTTTAGTTTTAGAATCTATTTTTTAAATAAAATTAAAATGATTTCTTAAATAAAATTTAATTTAAAAGTAGCTATTAATGTCTGCTAAAGTCAATTTATTTATTAAAATAAATAACTGTAGTGTGTCTAAGATAGATTAGTTTGACAATTCACTAGAGATTATTAAAACCGGTTATGATAGTTTTGGATTTTTGATGTTTGTTCTCATAGAATTTGCAATCGAAAATTTTGTTCATTACTGTTTTTGATTTACGATAGAAATGAAATTGTTTCTATTTATGCCAACTTTATTCATCAAAACTATGTTTCTATGTTCATTTCATATGTAAATAAAATATTATAACAAAACTTGAGATTTTGAGAAACAAAAAAAATATTTTGAATATTTTTATTAATTAATTGTGGTAGACTTAGCATAATATCTGTAATAAATTCAAAAAGTAAGAAGATACCTAGATGCTATAATATTTGCTATCTCTTCTTTTTAAAATGTTGTTTGCAACATTCAGCAATGAAAGTTCATGGTTAAATCAACCCACATCTATTTCTATGTACTCCCTATCGTTGTTGAAAAATCTACATATGTTGTTTAGTTTTCTTATATTTAAAAAATATTCTGTTTATCATTTTCAGATGGCCAATGCTCCTTCGGTGGCTCGGAACAAAATTGGCAATTCAACAACGGATGCTGACAAGGAGTTGATGGCACAACTAGCTAAACTTAAATCATAAATATTTTTAAGTAATATATTATGTTGTTAATTTTATAAAAAATATTGTTAAGGTCTTATTTAAGGGACTTCCACTAAATACAGAATTCGGATTTTTTAAATATTTTAAATGTGTTTGCCTATAAAATGAGTCTATTGTGAATTATTTTATCTGCATGGTAAAGAGTCTTTATTAACTTTAATTGGTAATTAAAAAAAATTGCAATCTACTAAAAATTATGTTCTGTAAAAAAAATAAAAAAAAATCGTTTGTTATAACGATTTTTTTCTCATAACTTAGAAATATTTTTTTATAAGTTTTTATTACTATATAAATTTAAATGAATTAACATTAAACTTAATGAAAATACGTCCAAAGTATATTTTTATTGTTAAGAGATGGGAATCTAATTTTTAGTGAAAATATGTAGTTTTTTATATTTAAGCATTTCTTTAGTTTGTACATATAATGTGAAAATAAAAACTGTGATATTTTTGTATTATATGATATCAGAAATAAAGAAATTTATTTAATCAACATTTTGTTTCTTTTTTTTAATTTTCAAAGACATAGCAAACGACTAGAATACTTATGTTTGTTTTCAATATTTTAACGTTATGTCACATACCGTGCGGTTCTGACATATCGTCATCCTTTTCTTTCATCTTTGACAAAACAGACATAACAATATGTTTTAAACGGCGATTTTGGACTTAGATACCCACGGATAATAACGTTAAGTGAAGTATTTGAAGTGACGTGTTGTTATATGAAAGTCGTGGCGTGACAAGAGAGTCGAGAAGTGACGTCATGTAAACGCGGACGTGACAAATATACTTATAATCTAATACCAATAGCACTTTTGAACGCTCTCGTTAATTTTTCATTACAAATTAAAGGTCGTTAAGAATACAGAATAAGGTACAGAAGGCCGTGTAAATTGATATTCATAAAGTGTCGGCTTCGTTTACTTTGTAATTTAATGAAATTTACACGTCTTGTTTGTTTGATACTTGATAAAGTATCAAGATGAATATTTCATGAATTTATACCTCACTACAGTACCTAGTCTGTTAAATAGTTTTTAATACCGTAATAGTATTACAGACGTTGGTAACAAACCAATTTCGATCTATAATTGTTCCAGAACCTTCCAGAATTGCTTCCGGAGTTATTTTGAAGTAGCGAAATGATACCGGATCATTTATTCGAAGAAGGAATCAATAATTCTTTTTTACACAAAGATATGAAGCATTTGCAACAGAATAAAACTATATACGATCGAACGCAGAAAGACTATGTGAGTTGGAAAGCACTTTTTAGCGCGTACTAATGTACTCTGACTATACAAAGCGCACTAATTTTAGTTTTAAGTGATACTAAAAGCACTTTGTGAATTCGAAATATCGATGTATCCTAGAAACATGTTTGAAATTTGTGTTTCACTTCGAAATTTTAGTATGCAATTTCAAATTCCTCCTAAATTTCAAAATGCGATCCATTGCAAAGACTAAAATTGAACGTGAGTAAAGTAATTTTTTCGAGAAAATAAGTAGCAATCTACTGTTTTAATGTTACCTATCAAAAATCTTTATTAGTTTATTTCTTTCATACAAACTAAGTTAGAACTTCTGTACAGGAACAAGAACAACGTGACCTGCTTTCGTCGCAAGATGGCGACACTTGTGAGATTCATGACCAGTTCTATCGCGACCATAAACTGTTGTTAGTGCTGTTTCGAGCACTTGCCGTCATGCCTATAACTCGCTCTAGACCGGGTTAATATTTACTTTATATTATAATACATACTATAACTGCTACCAATATTTTATGTACCAATGCCTAAATGTTTTCTTGCTAATCGTATCAACTGTTCTAACTTGGCAATCAATAAATGAATAAAAAAAATATTGTCGTAATTAGACGGAGAATTTTAAGGCCTTGAACTAATCGGACTTGGCCTTAAGCATTAAAATGCACTTATTTTGTTTTAAGGGACTATTACATTTAGCTGGACATCATCTGCTACTATCTACGCAATATGTTTTTACATTCTGACCACTGTAATAGTGTTGAATGTCGGTTACGAACGTATTATGATCCTGCGATCGATTCGAAAGTTCGACGACTATATTTATGCGATTCTTTTCGTCGTGTTCCTCGTCCCGCATTTCTGGATTCCATTCGTCGGCTGGGGAGTCGCTCATCAAGTAGCCATTTATAAAACCAATTGGGGAAAGTTCCAGGTAATAAGTACTTTTTCAAAGAAAGTAAAAGAAAATACTTTTACAACTTTCTAGTAGAGATTACGATAATAATAATAAAAAACATCAATTATTTAAAATTGATAATAGCGCCATCTATGTTATCAAAAATTGGAACCTGAAGTCTTTTCAAGTAATTAACACATCATTCGAAATCTGTCCCCTCAGGTAAGATATTACAAAGTGACTGGAGAAAATCTTAAATTTCCTAATTTGAAGCTGTCGATCATGATAATTAGTGTCGGATGTTTATTACTGGCTGTATGTTTCTTACTGAGTCTCTACGCTCTACTTGACGGCTTCCTCTTGAGACACACGATAGCCTATCTCCATATTATAACAATGATCAATATGAACTGCGCACTCTGGTACATCAATTGCAAAGGGATCAAGATAGCCTCTCAGAGCCTATCTGAATGCTTCCGAAGAGTAAGTAATGGTTATTTATTATGTGTTCTCAATTTTACTGTTTAATATTTATTATTACCTTACATTTACTTGTACTTATTATGTAGATTATGATAGTGGACAAATAACAATATGTTATTTATTTATTTGTTCCCATAGGACGTTGATATCGAGTGTTCTGCAAAGCTGATATCTCGCTACCGTTACTTGTGGTTGAATCTGTCGGAACTGCTCCAGTCACTTGGGAATGCTTACGCGAGAACATATTCTACTTATTGTCTCTTCATGTAAGAATATATTTTCACCACTATATAAATAGAGTTAACAGTTTCCTCACCAAATCCTAAACATTTCCAGCATTTTCGTCCTTTTTCCATTAGACAATCCATGGTTGGCACAGTATTTACGTACGTGTATACCTCTTTTATACCTTTTTTTCTCTATCAATGGTTATAATTATCAGCACTCATTTTTCTGACACATAATTCTGTGATATTGTTCATTCAGGTTCTTTAACATTACGATAGCGATATACGGTGCTCTATCGGAGATAGTAGACCACGGCTTCGGGTTTAGTTTTAAAGAAGTCGGTCTGTTCGTGGATGCGGCCTACTGCTCCGCATTGCTCTTCATCTTTGCTGATTGCTCGCACAAATCTACGCTTAAGGTTGGTTTCTAATTCAAATTATATCAACAATAAGTTCTAATTATATTGTTAAACTTTGCCTTGATTTGCAATAACATTAACCCTTAGGTCCTAGAAACTGTTCCATTAATGGCCCAGTCTTTTGATTTCTCTTCTATATTTTTTTGGTCTTAAAATTATTTTACTTTTGCGTTTCTCATAATGATTCTGCATTGTTTAACGTATTTTTCTTTTATAACATTACTTTTTATGAGTGTTGTCAGAAACTTCTGATAAATATGCATGAAAAGTCGTAGTACTGTTAACAACTTAACATTCAAGTAAGTTTAAAGACGGAGCATAGTTCGCACGTCAGTCACGTCCTCACAGAAACTACGTCTTTAGGCACTTTCGAACTATTTGCCTCTGGCTTGTTCTGGTCATAGAAATTTGAGTTGAATATGTGTATTTTAGTTAGTTTGTACACCACATATAGGTAGCATACTTCAACTTAAGGTTAACGAAAATCTCGAGGGAGTCAGAAATTTCCAGGTAAATCGAAATGTTTTAAATTATTAAATGTATATATTTCTACACAGGTAGCAGCCGGTGTGGTAGAGACATTGATGTCTATCGATGTACTCTCAGTTGATAGACCAACTCAAAAAGAAGTAAGAATTTACAGCTTCTTAATAACAAATATATGTCACTTAAGTACATATTAGCTTCGCCCTAAACAAATACTTGTCTAATATCTTTCTTTCTAGATTGATCACTTTATTCAGGCCATTGAAATGAATCCAGCTGTAGTAAGCCTAAAGGGCTACGCTCATGTCAATAGAGAGTTGTTAACTTCTGTAAGTACATATCTTACTAATATTATAAATGCGAATGTTTAGATGGATGGAGATTTGAAGGTATCTGAAGAATGGCTACATGGATCTTGCTGAAATTTGGCATAGATGTAGAACACAGTCTAGTAGAACACATAGGCTACTAATTAAGTTTTTTTATTCCACACGAACGGAGTCGTGTGCAACAGCTAGTTGATAATATATTTATTTAATGATACTGATTTTATGCGTACAGTATTTATTATTTAACAAAGTTTGTTACTCTAAGATTGTCATTATTTCCCCGTAATCTGAGGCAAAATAAGCACAAAATATTAAAGCCATTGATATCTTGTAACAGTAGGCTCATCATCTCGTAGTAATACAATCCAAGCTCGAGAGATGGATATTAAATTTCCAATTGCTGTTACAGTGGCCGTATCGCGGCGGGTGGCAACTTGTCATCATACTGTAAAGTGAAATTATTTTAAGTGATAATGTGCTATTCGATATTAAATTAAATTGTTGTAGACTTTAAGAGGATTGTTTTGAGGGAAGTTTTAGTTAGACAAAAGTATAACATAGTTCCATTAATAATTTAGTAATAGTTTTTTGTTCATTACATTTTTATTTATAAATATGTACTGTGGTTAAAAGCTGTTGGTGTTACACAGCTTGTTAATTTAATTTAACTATGTGATTTTAACATACAATTTTTATTTCGAAAAATGGAAATACTGTAATAAATATTGTATTGTATATATAATATGTTTGTTTGTTTATTTGCAGGCAGTGAGCATGATTGCGATATACTTGATAGTCCTTTTACAATTCAAGATTTCTTTGCCGAAAGATCTTCAAATACAATAATATGGAGAACTGATCTCCAACCTTCACCAGTCGGAGAGGCACCTCAAGAAGAAGAATAAGTATAGCCTCTAAGCCTTTACATTCTAACAGACATTACGTTTAGGCTTGAAATGATGTATAGGTGTTTACACAAAGTTGATCCTCACATAGACACGAGATGTGCCTTGCACATATTCTGCACGTAT